AAAAATGAAAATGAAAATGTCTGACAAATTAATAAAACAAGAAAGAAGAACTATAATATTGTAAATTTTACATCTTTACTCTCTATAGTCTCCTTTCCATGAGTTCCTAGAATATATAACTGCGTCATATTTGGCATAATCTCGATTATTGTGCATGATGTATCGATCATCGTTTATCATGAATATTGTTTATCTGGGTTAAGAATATGTCCTCAAATTACACTGCATCTAGAATGATCACAAAAATGAATAACTGATTCACATAATATTACAAACTGCTAAAATTTTGTGGTAATGAACTGTGATTATAATATCATTTAAGCGTGAGGGTTGCGGAATTTCTCTCCGGCATATTTCGCGGCTGCGCCAAGCTCCTCCTCGATACGTAAGATTTGATTGTACTTGGCCAATCGTTCCGAGCGGCAGGGCGCGCCCGTCTTAATTTGGCCAGTCGACAGACCAACGACCAAGTCGGCGATAAACGTGTCCTCCGTTTCTCCAGAACGATGAGAGACCATGGTACCCCAGCCGTTACTCTTGGCGAGTTTATGAGCGTTAATGGATTCGGTCACGCTACCGATTTGATTGACTTTCAACAGTAGACAGTTGCAAGCTTTCTTCTCAATAGCCGTCTTAATTCTGTAAAATGACAAGCGTACAATAAACATAGTAGAATTTAGCTTAATTGCTTTACATAAGCAAGTTTAATTAAAAATGGCAATGGTAGATAAAGCTTTTATTTCTCATGTGTTACATTTATTACCTCTCTGGATTCGTGACGGTAAGATCGTCACCGACGATTTGAATGGGAGTAGCCGCGGTCAAAGCTGTCCAAGAATCCCAGCCATCCTGATCGAAGGGATCCTCTATCGATACGATCGGGAATTCTTTGACAAATTCCAAGTACAAGTTCTTCAGCGCTTCTGGCTCCAGATATGTGCTCGGATCAGATTTCTCATTCTTAAAGTCCAAGTCGTACTTCCCATTTTTGTGGAATTCGGAGGCGGCAACGTCCATGCCGTATTTGATCTTTCCGTCGTAACCAGCGGTCTACAAATTCAGAACAAAATTACTAATAATTATCGTAAAGTAATAAATATATTTTCAGAGTCATAAATCTCTCAGTTTATACCTTAATAGCATTTATGATCAAGTTAAGAGCTTCTTTGTTTTCCAAGATGTTCGGTGCAAAGCCACCCTCGTCACCGACCGCCGTGGCGTCAAGGCCGAACTTCTTCTTGATACCTGCCTTCAAGTGGTGGTAAACTTCACTACCCATTTTCATTGCTTCTGTGAAATTGGATGCGCCAGTAGGCAAGATCATGAATTCTTGCATAGCCAGCTTGTTGCCAGCATGAGAACCACCATTAATAACATTGAATGCCGGTACTGGCAAGACGATATTGTTATTGCCAGCCAACTCAGCAATATATCTGTAATACAAAAAAATATATATTTGTGTGTGTGTATTTAGTTATTGTATATTTACGTATTTCTTATTTTTGCAAAAAAAATATGTAAAAAGAACAATTTTCTTTAAGACAAGGGAAGTTTATCTTGAAGCATAAAAGTATACGCTTTCCAGAATTTCTGGAAGAAAGTATATATTAGATTTTTACAAAATTTTGCATAAAAGTGTTTATTACTTAGATTATTTAAAATTATTTTAAGATTGCATATAAAGTTTTGAAAAAATATATAATTTTTTTAAAAGTAAATATAAAAAATAACAACTCGTTAAAAAAAGTAAGTCCATTCTGCATGATAATTTCTTTATAATTTATGTGAAATAATTTCCTTTATGTGTAAAAATAATCAATTTGTATCAAATATATTTACTTGTATAAAGGTAAGCCCTTTTTCTGAGCCCCAGCTTTGCAAACTGCTAAAGAGACACCCAAAATTGCATTTGCTCCAAGTTTGGATTTATTCCGTGTTCCAGCTTCAGCATGAAGTTATCGATATCCGTTTGCTGTGTAACTTCCAAGTTGGCCTTGAGAATAAAAGCTCATTTGTCAATTGTTCTCACAACTGTCAAATATTACGCGATAAATATTCGGCATTTACATATATCGTACAGAGAACGATACCTTCAATAATTCAGGAGCAATGATGGAGTTTATATTTTCTATAGCTTTAAAAACGGACTTTCCATGATATTTCGATTTATCATTATCCCTCAGTTCTAAGGCTTCATGAACGCCGGTAGACGCACCGGACGGTACCGCTGCGCGGAAGAGTCCAAGCTCGGTGACAAGATCGACCTAGAAGAACGAATAATATTAGAAAAAGAATATTTAATACAAGATATCAGAGACATTTCTTCGAGATTCAATAATTTACCTCTACTGTGGGGTTTCCACGGGAGTCATAAATCTGACGGGCTTTGATGCTTTTAATAGGCATTTTGACGCAACTGCTTGTCGACGTAAAACGGCTTGCTGAGATTAGAGGACTGCAACAAACAGGCGCAAGAAAATCATAAGCAAAGCGTGTCACTTCTTTAAGAATAAAAATCGCCTGACATTTATAACAAAAACCTTCTATTTCTCTGTCTTTGTGTTACAAAATAATCGTAATGTTGTAAGTTAATAACGTGCTTTCGCTAAAGAGGTAATCTTTTTTTAATGTACGATTATCGGACGATTTCTTGATATGATGTGACGATTATTCGATGTTGCAAATTGCAACAAAGATGTAATAAATGCAGACAAATTAAATTCGCGATTACAATTGACAATTTTTGGGCAAGGAAAGAAAACTGTCAGACAAGAACGTTGCAGCATTGTGCGACATTTGCTGCACAGGAAATGACAAGTTACCAAGTGTAACTTAGAAAAAAATTATATAAAATTGTATCTTGCGGATATTTAAGGATTAACGCTCAATTGACAGTTTAAGCGCTAACTATCGATAAATCGCGGCGGATGTCCGACGCACGTCGACCTTGTCAAGGTCATCGCAAAATCCGCTCGATATCTACAAAACCGATATCCAGCGGAAAACGTTCAGTTTTACGTTAAGATCAACGTTACGCGTCGAAAGATCTCACTGTTAGCGAAATCATGACTGTTAACGACCTTATTGTGTTAACGAAGTTCCGATACGAGACGATGGAACCGGCACGTAGCACTAACATTTCCTCAAGGTGCGCGAGGAATGGCATGCACTTGGACGAATTTAACAGAAACGCGATTCCGATCCGCGAGGAAAGGCTGCGATTTATTTTGACACATATGCCAGACGTTAGGCCGAATATGCTCATTGCTCACCTAACTTGACACGCGCGACAGTCCGCACGGAACGTTTGACGAGGAATGAGGCTTGACCTAACCGACGACCTTTCAGTCGTGATGCAAGCCGAGAGCTATCGATTGCAAGATGTACGCAAGATGTTAGGTTAATAGAGGGAAAAAATAGGAGTTTATTTCTCCGCGATGGACGCTGAAATAATAATTCAAGGGCCAGATTTCCCTCGTCATTGCTCCTGGAGCACTTGGAAATTACATTTGCATCATCGTACTATGATTTTGCAGAAGATTTGTTTCAGTTCCTGAACGTTCTATCATTGAACTTGACATGTTCATGAGCCAATGGTTGAACGGCTTTTGGATAGTGTTTCGAAACTGTTCGGTTGGATCTGCAGGTATGAACCAATCGTGTTCGACTACTGTTGACTACGGTATTCAAATGAATTTGAATAATAGAAACGGAATTCTTTTTCTCATTTAT